GGGTCCACCTTGAGTTCTCACATCTCAAGATCCTTAACTTAGTTACATTTGCAAAGATCCTATTTCCAAATAACGTCGTGTTCACAGGTATCAGGGTTAGGACTTGGACATATCTTTTTAGGGCCACTATTTAAATCACCACAGGGGGGCTAACCTGGATTAATAGATGTTTACAACAGGTTAAGAGTTCTAGAAAAAGGTTTCCTCTATCTTCAATTTATCATTTAGCCTGATGTTAGTACATACAGATTTAGTCAGAAGGAAAAAAAAAAAAAAGCATAGGCAACTTCTCAGAATCCTTTTTGGAATCCATGGAATGTGCAGATTTAGAAGAGAAACAAATCCTGTAGAAGGAGATGAAATGAGCCCAGAGTGAAGAAACACACATTAATTAAGCAAGTAGAAGAAAATAATAAGAAAAGCTTCAAGTTTCACATGGGTAACAAGTGAAATCAAGGAGGAAAAAAAAAGAGCAGAGAAATGGCATTGACAACCATGACAAAGTAGAGAATAAAGACCTTAAGATGTAAAATGAAAAATGAGGAAAGTTATAGTCAAGGAAATATCAAACCAAGTTTACACCTATAAAATAAAAATTTATGGACTTGAGTATGAGACCTTAAAAAAGGATCTTTAAGTTGCTGAAGAAATATTTCTTCTTCCAGTTGTATCTGGTGGGATCCCTGACATAGTAAGTATCGCTTAGAGCAAGGACACATTTCCACCAATTTTTATTTCACCAACTAACTTTTGAACTCTGACTTCTTGGGCTGACTCATCAGCATGTTCATGGGCAAAATATTTCCCAAGCACATGTTGTCTGCTGGCATAGTTGAAAGTCTTTGGAAAATCTAAGAGCCTGGAGTCAGTTATTTAAGTATACCACACAAATTATAGATTACTGACCACTAAATTAGGGGCCACCTTTGGGTTGGCCATTGATCCTTGGTCCATTCACCTGAGGCCACAGGAAGTCAGACTGGGGGGTCTCCCAGTGGAGACTGTCCCTTCTAAGGTCAGGGCTGGAATAAGCACAAAGTTACACAGGTATTATACAGATATGCAAGGGAGTACAATGAAGTAGTGTCTGTGCTATAAAGTGGGGGTGACTGAAGAAGTGTGCACAGAGGAATTGACTGGTAAAGTCTGAGTCGTGTTCAACAATGGGATGGCACAGAGAGGTGGCTGGGTGGATGGGAGAGTGAGCAGTCAGGAATTCTGAATGGGATATACCCACAGATCCCATTAGAGACCCCAAGTATGTCACCTCAGAGACAACTGGACTGAGTGATGGTCACTCCAGTGATTTTATTAAAACCTCATGCTATGCTCAAATAAGAAACCAGCTGTAAACAACAAAAAAATCCTTTGGATTATACTTAATCTTCTTGTCTAAGGGGTAGAGGAATGTTTCTTCATCTCAGTTCTTTAACTGGAAAGCTGGTGCCATGAACGATTGTTAAATTAGTAAGTATGCCAACACTTTCATATATTAATTGGTATGTTCCATTTTAATTAAAACCATACTAGTAATTACTCATTTCACTGTGTGCAACGCCAGCTGAATAAGCAGGAGGACATGATGAAGGCAAAAATAAACTCTGCACTCTAAAGTTTATTAACATTGTATTGCTTTTCCTTGTGCACGTGGTGATTCTAGGGAAATGTAAATTTAACCTTCTATTCTTGCCTCATCTGGGAGTGAGTGGCTGGTAGTAGAAAGAGTATGGTCTTTGAAGCCCATATGTGGAGGTTTGGGGATGTTGGCTCTGCCATTTATTAACTGTGTGATCACAAGCAAATATTTAACCTCTCTGACCTTCCAGTTTTCCTATCTAAAAATAGGAATTATTGTAGCACTCATTAAAGAGAACTGGTGTGAGGATTAAATGAAATAATCAAAGTGAAGGACTGGGTATGTAACAGGTTCTTAACAAATGTTAGTCCCCATCACCACTCACCATCCCACTCACCTGGGTAACATCTCCTTACTCATCAGGATCAGCTGTCACTACCCCCACCGGGATGGTTTCTGAGTCCCAAATCTGAGGTGTCCCTCACCTCTTTGTGTGTTTATCCCTTTTATCCAACTCTACTTATCTCCTGTTTACTCGTGTGAGTAGCAGGTGCATACATTCCATTAGTAAGCAACTGTGGTTATTTTTTTTTCCTTTTTGTCTTTTTTACTGACCGGTAACGGGATCGCAACCCTCGGTGTTGCGCCCATACCGGGGACCGGCAACGGGATCGCAACCCTCGGTGCCGCGCCCGCACCGCGCTCAGCCAGTGAGCGGGAACCGGTCTCCACATGGGATCCGAACCCTCAGCGGGAGCGCCGCTGCGCTCTCAAGCGGCGCACTCTCCAGTGCGCCACCGGGCCGGCCCTAGCAACTGTGGTTATTTAAGATTATAGTGAAAATAATATTTTTCTTTTAGTGTATGTACACTATATCTTCAAATGGTTACCAAGTTAGAAAGCTATAAACACTTATGTTGTTCGGACCTAAAATTGTTAAGTATCTCTTTTGACTGAGATCTGTCTTGAAAAAGTTACTGCTAAGGGCTTTATGAACTAAGGAAGTTCTAGAACCTCCAGTATAGGAAAATGATGAAGCTCTGAACTAGAGAAATAACAATGTTTATTATTACCGTTATGATTTGCTGTTATAGTTATAACAATACCATAATTAATAACTAACAGGCAAGTGAGCACTTACTATTTCTCACGCACTATTCTGAGCACTTTGGTGTGCTTTAAGTAAAAAGGTCACGTGTTAACTTATTTAGTCCCCTGACAACCCTAAAACAGAAAGTTTATTTTTCTCATGTTACTGAAGAGGAAACTGAGGCCTACAGAGAATGGATAGCTTGCTTAAGGTCACAGAATACATGGGTGCTAGAGCTGGGATTCAAACCTAGATGATTCCAGACTCAAGGCTCTTAACCACTTCCTCACCAAGGTTGCTGGATTGCAAAGACAGAGTTGAGCTGTCTTGGTGGCAGAATCTACAGAATTTACAGAATTTAGGAACTGGAGAAAACAGATGTTTTGGGATGTCCATCTAGCCCACACTGACCCCTGGCTTTGAACATATTCGCAGGTAACTGGAAAACTGCCAGGTGAGCCGTGTTAGGCCAAATGGATCTTTCTCCAAGGAACTGGGGACTGAGGGACTGAGTTTCTGTTGTTTTTCTGTCTGCATCAATCAGTTCAAACAGATGTTCATTGTCACAATGGCAGGTTCCATCCTCCTGGTTTTGGGGTAGTTAGCTGCATGCTCCCCATGGCTATCCTTCTCGAGGCTCATTTGTCCAGGAATTTTGTAGTTCCCTGAGATCTTTACTTTTCCAATAACTTTTCTGAGCTAGATTTGAAGTTTAACTAAAACCCTGAACATAGATGACATAAAATACATTACTAAGAAGAGCGGGCAATGCCTCCATCACTAAGTATCCAGCTCCCTAAATTGGGTGGCCATGAGCACCACTCAGATTGCAGACTTCAGCAGGGTCAACTCCTCCCAGAAACCAGGCAGGTCTGTGCAGTTTACATAAACATTTGGGAAGGGCAGCTTTCTGCAGTGCCAGAGAGGTCAACCATCTACCCAGCAATTATGCCACTGTCAGACTGTAAATACACATTTGCAAATGCCTGTATAATTGTTCAGAAACAGTTTAGGCCTATTCATGCAGGGGTAGTTACAGAATATTAACGGGAATGCTTACACAACATCTGCTTTCATGGTTAGAGCCAGATTTGCACCGTTTAAACATTTACGGATATAAAGCAGTGGATGGGATTTTGCCTCTGCCAGCTCTCAGGAAATAAAAACTTGACAGCAGCGGACAGTTGCATGGCTGATCGATGGGTTCAGGGAGGCCATCACATTTTCAGCTATAACAAACTTATTAAAAATGGCTTGGCTTCCCAAAAGTCTAATAACAGCACCCAGTAAGATGTGAAATTGCCATTACAGAACTGTGGTTATGTTGCTTTAGTCACTGGCCTCCCTGACTTTGTTCAGGATGGTTAATATCATACTTCAACAAAGAAGTCTCTGCTAACTCTAAGGCACAATACCTGGAGATGTCCACATAAGAAGTGGCAGGCCTCAAGGTGTGTAATTCAGAATATTTGTCTTTTTAACCTTCAATTTGGGGCTTGTGCTTCAAATCAGTGTTTTTCTGCCTTCATCATCTTGAGACACATGTCACTCTCTCCCAGTTGGAAGGCATATAGGCTCTCATATTCCTCAATTTTAGCTGCTCTGAAAGATGACTTCCAAACTCCACCATACCTAAGAGTGCCACAAAACTCACATGTGAAGTGTTAGATCATCCCGAATTCTAACTGCTTGCTACACCTCAAGTTTCAGTGAGTATCCATCTAGCCATTTTCAAGCGTTAGGGACCCCGAATTACAGTGGCAGAAAGATGACAGAATTTTACTCTTCTCTCATGTAACAGTCCCAAGTAAAGAGCCCAGGTTGGTGGATTGCTTTGCTCCAGTCATTCAGAGATCTATGCTCTTCCCATCTTTTGGTTCTGCCATTCCCCAAAGATCGTCCTTATTTATATGGTCCGGGCTGGGTTGCAGACAAGTCCATGTTGCAGCTTAAAGAAAGGGGAACCAGAGCAACTCCAGGGAAACTGGCATATCTCTTAAATGGGAGATGATCTGCAAGGTCAACTTTGAACTATGTCCCACTGGCCTAAACTAAGCCCCAGAGTCAAATTTCATGACACAGGGTCCTAAATAATGCTATTTCTATCTGGGGAACTATGAACCCAAATTAAATTCTACTGCCATGGAAGAAAGGGAAGATAGGTTTTGATTGCTGGCCACAAGTTTCTGTCACATGTAACAACAGAGAGAAAAAGATATTGCTTCTTCCTAATAAGGGAAATGCCACATGGCCATATATTCAACAAGAATTTGTTAAGTACCTACTATGTGCCAGATACTCTCTTATATGCATAAGAAAAATGCTGTTAACAAATTGTGGGTGACATTTTTTAATACTAGAAACACATTTTTCTACTTTTGAAACTGTTTTGCTCTTTCAGATAATAGAAGGCAACTGGAAAAAAGGGATGATTTTTATCTTCTTATTACAGAGAAAATATTCACATCTGTCAAATTCCACCAGCTGGCATTATCATCGTTCTGTGGGTAAGCACACACAAAAACCTCCTGGATAATTATTTGTAAGTTGGTCTCATAAATCATAACTTGCTTGTAGCATTTTTATAAAGCTTCAGGAAAGACTCTTCAGAGGATGATATTAAATCATTGAGATTAAATTCAACCTCAAAGGTGGGTTTTTTCCTCAAAATAATTAAGGCAACCAACACAGCAAAACGTGCAGTTATAGCCCTGATGTGGTAAGTCACATCATCCTCAGGGTTTGTGTACACAAAGTGATGGCCGACAAAATGGTGGCCATGACGCGTGACATGGTGCTGGTGGTAGACACGAGGGCTCAGGAAATAGTCCAGAGGCACCAGGAACACTGCCTTAACTTCGTCGGGATTCGGCTGGGCCTGGAAATTGTGGTCTATAAAACCCACAACTGGGGTTATCAATGTATCTCTCTAAAAGAGGAAAACAAAATATACAAATTAAGAAGTGAAGTGACATTGTTTCAAATGCTAAATCATGCCACTTCTATGTAAGATAAGAAAATACGCCAAAGCCACCAGTTACAGAAGGCAGGTAGGAAAGGAGGAAGAACTAGTTCTGGAAGCATATTTATGTCCTCTGTGGAACAGAGGTAGTACCTCACCTACCTGCAGCAGCATCTGAGATGACTCTGAAAACATTACCTTTTATGAACATAAACTAGTACTATCTTCTGAAATGGCATTTGACAATATTGTAATAATGTGGTCCCTTTGACCTAGGAATTGCATGTGCATGTATATATCTGTATGATAAATTGATATCAGTGAGAAAAGACACAAGTACAAGGCTAACGCATTATTTGCAGCAGCCTCAAACCCTGAAGTTATCACTCTTCAACCGATGGATATTTAGGTTAGATAAATTATGATTATATCCATATAATGGGGTACTCTGCAGCCCTTAAAAAAATGGGATAGACACCCTTAAAAAAAAAGCGTGGGATGAGGCAGGCTTCAGGGCCTCTGGAAGGAGCTGAGTACTATTAGAAACAGTCCCAGGAAGTTAGGACACGTGACTGAAATATGCTGAACTGTTGAAGGAGTTGAGGCTTCAGAGGTGGCCAAGTGAAGGAGAGAGAATGAATGGAAATGTCTGGGCCACATACCAAGAGAAAGGAGAAATGTCCCCTGGTTCCATTTCAGAGACTTTGGCAAAGACAAGTACCTAAATGTGTGACATGGGGGTAACTGGGGTGGGGTTGAGGGTCATAGCCTGCCTGCAAGAGTTAATTCAGGGGGTAGGGAAAGAGCCACTGGCACCACCCAGCTGTGACACCCCAAAACATCTCCATCTACCCCCTGGGTGGCAAAATCACTCTAGGTTAAGAATCACTATATTAGATTATGCTTGTAAGTGTTCAATACATGGTATTTCTTAATACATTTAAAAAATTAGCAACGGCCAAAAAACAAAACAACCCTCCTTAGTACTTCTGAACACAGTATACCTTTCTTTAAAGCCTCTGTTTATTTTAATTTCTTGATAATGTCATCTTAGAAATCTCCTGCTCCAGGAGTGTCTGGCTCCCAGAAATCTCCTCAAGACTCAACGTACTCCTGTGAACACTGCTGGATTCTGTCCACTCACATGCAGAATTCATTGGCTTCTGGGACCTTGGAAATGGGGTTACTCTCACTTTGTGAACTTCTCATTATTATGACTCAATTTGTCAATAGAGTTCTAAAATAAATTTCCAAAATGTGCTGGAGGATTTGCAGAAGTCAACAGAAGAGTATCCATTAGAAAACAGAATTGAAAAGGAAGCAATTGATACATTTCTTATTTGATCCCATGTTTCTTTCTTTCTTTTTTTCTCTCTCTCCCGCAGAGACACACCCATACTTAGCAAGCATCTACTGAGCGGCTGCTAGCTTCTTCCAAACTAAATTTCCCTTGAGTGGTGACCTTTCTATTTTTAAATGGACCCAATTAAGACAGATGTCTCAGCATTGATCTTCACAACACTGGACCTCCAAGACTTTGAGCCAAATGGAACATAAAGGATGATCTAATCCACTGGCTTTCTAATTATTAGGCATCAGTGGATCATTCTTTTGAAATAAAAATTTACCGGAAAGCCCAATATATAAAACATAAAAAAGTTTACACCTACCTCTCTTATTAAGTGATGAGGCCATTTCACCTCTGTGGTATTCTTCTCCCAAACCATGACCCCAGTTTAACCATGAGAAAAATATCTGACAAATTCAAATGGATGAACATTCTAAGAAATATCTCACCAGTACACGTCAGTACCATCAGGGTCATCAGAATAAGGAAAGTCTGAGAAACTGTTACAGACCTGAGGACTAAAGAGACATGACAACCAACTACAATATGGTATCTTGGATGAGATCTAGGGCAGAAATGAGGACTAGGAGAAAAGTTAGAAAAAGGCAAATACAGTCCGGAGTTTAGTTAATAGTAATGTACTAACATTGGTTTCCTAGTCATGACAAATGCACACAGTGACGTAAGATGCCAACCATAGGGGAAACTGGTTGTGGGGTATATGAGAACTCTCTGTGCTATCTTTGCTTTAACTTTAACTTTTCCATAAATCTACAACTGTTATAAAGGGGGGAGGGAGGTTTTGGTGATGGGACACAATAACTAACTACATTGTATATTGACAAAATAAAAAAAAAATAATAATAATAATATTTAAGGATCTATAATAAAACAAATTAAAAGTAAAAAAAAATGTATTGAGAGTAACAGACTTACTCAGGAAAACATACACAAGAAGCAAATAAATACAGCAAAATATTAACTGAAAAATCTAGGTGAAAGCTCTGTGGTACTCATTGTACCATTCTTGCAACTTTTCTAAAGATGTGAGATTTTTCAGAATAAAAATTTGGAGGCAAAAAAAAAAAATTAAAGATTTTATTAAGATGTTTACACTAATAAAATAATGCTGTTATCCAAGTCTGAATGTACAATATTTACTTCTTCTAAAGTCAATTAGTACAATAATCGAGTTGTTAACTCATAGGAAATAAGATCTGGCTATATCAGCTCCAGAATTCATTCTGTTTTTTTTATTTTTTTTATTTTTTTTAAAAGATGGCCGGTAAGGGGATCTTAACCCTTGACTTGGTATTGTCAGCACCATGCTCATCCAGTGAGCTAACCGGCCATCCCTATATGGGATCCGAACCCGGGGCCTTGGTGTTATCAGCACCGCACTCTCCCGAGTGAGCCACGGGCCGGCCCCTTCATTCCGTTTTTTAAAAATATGTTGTTTTGGTGCATACTATCAAGGAAATCCTGATTCACACAGAAATGCAGTTACAAATAGTTATAGTTTTTAAACAGCTTGCCTAGCGATCTCAGGGTACTGCTCAATTAATGTGATATAGAGAAAGTTTATTCTAAGGTACGTACAAAAATGAGTACGTTTAGGGCAAAAGTAATGCATTGATGGCTTCCAAGGGACTAAAATTTGGTATAGAGCACACTGGAGTGTGTGTTATTTTTTCAACCAAACTCTCAAAAGATATGAATACTGGAGAAAAGTAAATATGAATTGCATGTTAATGAAACAATTCTGAAGCATCTTCAGGGTTCCACAGCACCCAGTGTGAACTGGGCTGATGGAGTTTGACCCTTCTATTTCTAGATGGGGAAAGAGGGGCCCAGAGAGAACAACTAGTCTCCTGACTTTATGTCCAGTACTCTTTGGGGTCAGTTTGGACAAACGTGGAATCCTGAGAACACCAGATACACTGGGAGCTCATGAGAGTCTAAGAAAACCCTTACATCAATCAGATATGGCACCAGGCGGCAGACGACCTCCACTTGATGAGGATGCAGCCCCACCTCCTCCTGGGCTTCCCGGAGAGCCGTGGCTATGTCATCCTTGTCTGCTGGCTCACTCTTTCCTCCGGGGAAGCAAACTTCTCCAGGTGACCTTCTTAGCTGGTTATTGAAAGAACAGAGTTACAATGTGGGATTCCAATTTTAGAACCACTTGCTCATTCAACAAATATTTACCCAACTCCTATTTTGTGCCAGAAACCATTTCTACCTTGGTAGTGATAAGTGGTGAACAAGAACACAAAAATGTTTTTCCTTGAACACTATTAAAAAAATGAACTTTGAGAATTTCCCTCATTCCTAATTTTTCTCTTTTTGCTCCCAAAAGATACCATACACACACAAACAGATTGGCATTGATTGGGTAAAAAAGCTGAAAGACTGGATAATATAAAGAGCAGTAGTACCAACACAGGATTTCGTTGAGTCCTTGACGAGTGCCTACCGTGTCTGAGCACGGAGTTTCACAACAGTTTTTCTCACTGAGTCCTCCGAACAGTTCTAGAAGCTACTATTTGTTTTTAAAGTGTTTTTTTTTAAATGAGGTGAAATTCACATAACATAAAATTAACCATTTTAAAGTAAATAATTCAGTGACATTTAATACATCCAGTGTTGTGCAACCACTTCTGCTATCTCATTCCAGAATATTTTCATCACCCCAAAAGGAAACACCATACCCACTAAGCACCTGATCCCCATTCCCCTTATCCCCCTGCGCCTATTTTCTGTCTCCATGGATTTACATAGTCTGGATATTTCATGTAAAGGGAATCATATGATATTTAACCATTTGTGTCTGGCTTCTCTCACTTAGCATAATGTTTTCAAGGTTCTTCCACACTTTATCATGTATCAGCACTGCGTTCCTTTGTATGGCTGACTAGTATTCCACTGTATGCATAATCAGAATTTGCTAATCCAACTATTTGTTGATGAACATATATGATACTTTTATACTATTATTATTTCCACTTCCAGACAAGCTGTATTAGTCTGTTTCTGTTGCTTATGACAGGATACTGAGACTGGATAATTTCAAAAGAAATAGAATTTATTTCTTACAGTTTGGAGGCTGGGAAGTCCACAGTCCAGGGTACATATCTGGTAAGGGCCTTCTTGGTCGTGGCTCTTCAGTGACTCAAGGTGTCAGATCATGAAATGGCTGAGCAAGAGAGACAGCTAACCTCCTCACTTGCTCTCCTTTTTAAGCCATCATAACCACACCCATGTCACCCATTAAACTATCAATAGATTAATCTATTCACAAGGTATAATTCTCACAATCTAATCACCTTTTAAAAGCCCCACCTTTCAATTACCAGAATGGGATTTCCCAACCTCTTAACACTGTTACAATGGGAGTCAAGCTTCAGTGAGTTTTGGGGGACATTCACTCCACAGTACAAGGAATCTAAGACTCAAAGATGTTAAATAACCTGACCAAGCTCACAGGATGAGCTGGAATGTAAATCAGCATTTAATTCTAGAGCCATGTTCCTAATCAGCAAACCATATATTTATTAAGAATTTACTAAAACACAGAAAATATGGTCATTGGAATCATTAGCATTGACCTGTGTCGGCATCTCTGTTCATCTCTGTAAAGGAATAGGGGTCTCTCTTTTCCCTGTGTTGCCCCCTTCCACCTATACCCTTGATTCCATTCCTTCCTGACTGTAGGATAATGTGTGTCTCCATTTGCAGCATTCTAAATACTACCCCCTTTCTTATCTCTGTCTCTAAAATGATTTCTCTCCTATCTTGAGCAGAGGTGGAGAGGTACAAACCCTCTATTCTTCTCTCTTCTGCAGGACTAAACTTCTCAGCAAACTGACCCCAATTTGTTTTACTCCCACTCCTGCCTAGTACCCACTATCCTCTCTCTACTAAACTGTCAAAGAGACCTCAGGGCCAGCTAGAGTCCAGAGTTTGCCTCTTCTCAGCTGTGTGCAATGTGTGTGATGACATTGTGGACTTCTGTGTGCATCTCCCAGAGCTGTGAAGATGGTTACATGAGCTATGACTGAAGCACGTGGAACAGTGCTTGGCCCTTGTTACATATTTAATAACAAGAACTTGTAACATCAGTTCTTGACACTTAGAAATGAAATCAAGAGGTCACATTGGTGTTTTTAGCACCTGGACCAATACATCTATGTAAGGACAAACTAGATGACTGTTATGGTCCAGATGTTTATGTTCTCTTCCTGTAACTTCCCGGTCTGGAGAATAATGCAGGAAGAGAACCCCAATTCAGGGTTAATTTCTCAAATGGAAGGAATGCCTCTCTCTTGAGGGTTCCGGGAGATTAACCTCTTTGAGCCTTCTCACTGCTCAGAAGAGTTGGGCTTTGAGTAATCTTTGGCGGCTCCATCACCCAGGGGAAAAGGGTGACAAATCCGCGGGAGGCAAAGCAACAGTCAGTATCAAAATGGGCCCTAAGTAGAGAAGATTTCAATCCTTTTTTTTGTAAATAGTATAGAATACTTATTAAATAAAACCTTATGAAATTCTACTCAGAAGCCGAATAATGTTGCAGCCTAATTTCCTAAGACTGTCTGTTTTTGTTCTTGAATTTTCTCTTGCCTACTTCAAGCTCCAGAGAGCAGGAAGCAGAACGGAGAGAAGGAGGAGGAGAGAGGGGAGAGAAGGGGGTAGCAGGAGAAGAGAACAACCAACCATAATGTAGTAGCTGATTCCTGAAAGCCATCGAGTGGGTGGCCTTGAAGGTGTGGAGGTCTATGACAAGGTGTGCGAGGGGAGACGGGGTTTTGCTGATGCTTTGCTGGGCACCAGGGATCTAGGGCTCTGGGAGGAGCCCCTTAACCAAGGTGGACCCAGACAAGGAAAAAATTAAAACACATAATAGCCAATGTCATGGAGCTTTTATGGCTGTGCCAAACACAGACATAATGCAAAACAAAGTTTTGTACTTTATAGACATCTTGTACTCTTAGAACAACCCTACACAATAGGTACTGTTTTCAGTCCCATTTTAGGGATGAGAAAACTGAGGCCTGGGGAGATTAAGAATTTGCTCCAGTTCCCATCTAGCTGGCAGGACAGCACTCACTAGAGTGGGGTAAACTGATGACCTGGGGTGGGAGGGCCTGTCCCCATCTACTGGGAGGAAGTCTCCTGGTGAGCCCCCTGCCTGTGTGACTCCAGGGAGGGGTGGAGCTCCAGTATGCCCCAGAGGGAATTTCTCGACCCCAAGCCAGATCATGTTTACAGTCAGATTTAATTAGATTCAAATGCTTTCTTAAAAAAAAAAAAAAAATGTGATCTTAATGATCAACAGACAAAGCAGCTCTGAGTGAAACAAGTGACCAGAGACCCACCTGCTTGAGGTTTTGGTCTTAAATAGGTTTTCTACATTACTGTTCATCTGATACTTCAAAAAATATACTTCGTGCCTCTGCCTCTACTGTGTTTATTGGCAGAGCTGGGAACAGACTCCTCAGAACCTGGATTTTCATCATCTCACGTGTTTAAGTCCTTGTTGCCTGGCTCAGACTGAAAAGAATCCACACAAGTCTACTTCCAAGTTCACTGAACTTCAGCTGATTCCTCAGCTTTTTTATTTTTGCTAACAAGATACTTTTCATTATTCTACTTAAAAAGCCATGTTATTATCTAAAATGGTGATGTAATGATATCAGGAGGATGGGGAGGGAGATCAGAGGTATTAGAGTGCTCAATTCTATTCTGTCATAATAGAAAGTCAATAGTCAATGTCTACACTTGATTAATCAAGAACTAGTCATATAACTATATAGAAAAATGGAGATAACTTTCAAGAAATACAGCTAAAAGAGGTGACAGTGATTGATGGTGTGAAGTTGGGTGTTTAGGTGGGTCAGCAAACCCACCTGCTTTTGTAATTTTTCATTTTAAAAGCAATCATATATATTGGTTTACCCATGACAATTCCACTTTGCCTCATGTCCCATATTTGTGCCAGACAAAAGTGTCTCAGTTTGTATAATAAACCATATGGTCACCTTAATAATTATAATCCTTTTGATCAATTTGATTTTTAAAAGATATATTCATTCTTTTGTTATAAATTTAAAAATAGAGGTTTAAAAGTAGGGGAAAAAAAGCCATGTTATTACGACCTATTTTCTTTTTGTACTTGGCTAACCTTGAAAGTTCTGTTTCCTCAACTTTTCCTTGGAAATATCACCAGCAGCAAGGGAGAGGGGAGATGGCACTCAGGGGTGGAGGGGTAAGCCAAAAACTCCATTCCCAGCCCAGTATTTCATTAAAGTGAAATCATTTATCCTAAAACTTCAGCCTTGTCTGCCACTTGACACTAAGGGTGACAGGTGAAACTTACTGAACTCTTGCCAAGTGCCAATGTTGTTTCAGGTGCCTGACATTTATGACCCTGTGAAATCCTCATAGCAGCCCTGTGACGCAGTAACTGATATTTTCTCCTCATTTTACAGGTGAAGAGGTTGAAGCACAGAGAAGGTAAGTAAATAGGACAAAGTCACACAGAAGGAGAGAGAGCCTGCATTCGATGTGGGCCGCCAGCTTCAGGGCCTAGCCTGTTACCTTCTGTGCTCTGGTGTTTTCACACTGTACCTGGGATGGAATGAGTCTAAAACAGTGGTTCTTGGTGGGGACAATTTTGTCATCTCCAAGTCCCTGCCAGGACAGCAGGCAATGTCTAGAGACATTTGTGGTTGTCACAAAGGGAAGTGTATGTGTGTGTGTGTGCTACTGGCATCTAGGGGGTAGAGGCCCAGAATGATGCTAAACATCCCACAATGCACAGGACAACCCTCTACAATGAAGAATTATCCAGCCCCAAATGCCACTAGCACCAAGGTTAAGCAACTCTGGTCTAAAAATATTTTAAATTACTTGCTAGCCAAATTCCTTATTTTTCTTTCCAAAACCTCTTCAAGAAATACCATGTTGTCCTATGGCTTCCTGTATCCCTTGAATACCACAATTTTAAAAGTCCATTTGAGAATCATGGCCTCAAATTGTGTGCAAGTAACAAAATTTCATGGGATTTTTAAATGTTCTGAGATTTCATGGTAGGTGCCTTTGTGTCCACTTACCTTCTCTGACCGGAGGGTGAACAACAGATGGAGTTTTCCCTCTTTAGCCAACAACGGCAAAAGGATGGAACATTTGTTATACGACAAGTGAGAATATTTGGTCCCAACATCATGCTTTCTCAAGCAGGCCTTAGCATCATCTATCAAACTGTTTCTAAAATGGAAACAAACCAAACATTTTAATATACAGAGTAAAAAGCTCCTATCCTGTCTATGTTTCTGGTTTTTTGAGTCTCCGGGGGTTTACATTTCTGAGTCTCAGTGTACTTTTCAATAACATGGCAGAAATAATAGAACCTAAATTGCACGGTTGTTGACAAGATTAAAGGAAGCAAAAAAAAAAAAAAACACTACTAAGTACAGTTTAGTACACGAGTTCACTTTGAAATCTAAATTAAACTTAAAATGAAAGTATGGTAAAATGTTTTTTCAATAATTCAATAATGCAATAGCTGAACTTGGAAATCCATAATTATGTTTAGACAGGACAGGTTTGCTGAAAAAGTCATTGTAAGGTGAGACCACTTTCTCTTAACCTGCTGGCCCTTCTGTAGTGTTATCAAACTCTTTTGTTTTCAATTGCCTTATAACATTGGTTCCGAAACTTCAGAGGCAACAGAATCACCCAGAGGGCTGGTTACAATACAAACTGCTGGACTCACTCCTAGATTGTGACTCAGTAACTCTGGGGTGGGGCCTGAAAATGAGCATTTATAGCAAACTCTCAAGTGATGTTGTTGATGATGCTGCAGACCAGGGGAACATAGCTGAGAACCGTTATCTGACAATATGCAGGTAATTGGATTTATAACCACAAATGGTACCTTTTTCATGTGGATTTTAGTCCTTTTGACAGGTGTATTTTGTTGCTGGTTTGTGTTGTGGGTTGAATAGTGTCCTCCAAGTTCTTGTTCACCTAGAACCTCAGAATGATTTTATGCAGAAATAGGATCCATGCAGATGAAATTAGTTAAGGATCTCAAGATGAAATCACCCTGGTTTTAGGGTGGTCCCTAAATCTAACAAGTAGTGTCCTTATAAGAAGAGGAGAGGACACAGAGAGAAACACACAGGAAAGAAGGCCATGTGAAGATGAAGGTCAAGATTGGAGTGATGCTGCTACAAGCCAAGGAATGCCAGAAGCCACCCGAAGCTGGAAGAGGCAAGGAAGGATTGTCTCTTAGATCCTTCAGAGGGAGTGTGGCCCTGACAACACGTTGATTTTGGACTTTTAACCTCCAAATCTGGGATAGAATACATTTCTGTTGTTTTAAGCCACCTAGTTTGCGGTACCTTGTTATAGTAGCCCTAGAACAGTTTGGTTTTAATTTTTCAAAGTGGACAAAATCATATCTGTAAGTCAGCCAGAACTGGTTTCAAAAATATAGGAATGATCTCCCTAAACTTTGCTTTCCTCATCTGTGATATGCTTGAAGATATTTTTGAAGATTAAATGATGTAGTTCAGATACTGTGGCTGGCACTCAGCTGGTGCTCAATGAATAGTAACTACTGTCATAACTGTCCCCATCATTAGATAAGCAGTTGCTTGTAAGAGGTGTTTGTTATTTTTTGCCTCTTTCTAAGTAGCAGGGTGCTCACTAAATGTGGGTAGCCACAGTGGATTTCAAAAACGACCACGTGTCTTGAAAAGAATCTCTAAGTACTGGCAGCGGGGATTCCAGAGTGCACCAGATGTACAAAGATCCGTGTCCAAAAAAGGAAACTGGCCTGCCCAGAGTGTGAGTGGACTCTACCATGGGTAGCTTTTATGAAGCCCCAGAACTGTCCAGAATAACCAGCAGAAGTAAAAGGCTGTAAAAACGTGTCTGTTCACTTTAGAGGCTGGTCTTTGTAATAATCACCATAAAGATCCCAACCCCAGTTCCATGCTCTTCTCATATTTTTTTTTTTTTTTTTTTTTTTTTTTTTTTTTTTTTT